CGATTTATGTCATTAGATAAGGGGGGGTCGATAGGTGTATTCGTCCCACAATTCATCTTCAATTATTATGGAACATCCTTTATCTACATGTTACAATTGATGATTTTGAAAATAAAACAAAAATTTGTCGTTTTTCCTACCTTTTTACTTTTTAATTATCTATCAATGTTCATATTAGAATTTGCTATCTCATGTGCAAGTTTTTTATGTTTGATCTTTACATCAAAATCAAGTGTTCGATCTTTAATAACATGCGATACCATTGATATATATATATTGAGAATAATTCAATTTGTTTATAATGAACACAATAATAAATTAATCACAAACAATAAGAAATCTTTAGAATCTGATGATAAAACAATATATTTCAATTTTACTTTAAGTGAATACCTCATTTCACGATCTTTTATCGTCTACAAAAACTGATATGAATAAAAAAAAATTTTCCAAAAACGAAAACAAAATGTGAATATTTAAACGATATATACATATACATAAAGAAGGCAACCAACAAGAAGAAAAAAGAAACACTAGATTTTAATAAATTATTATTTATGTTTATTAGCTTGAGCTCGAGATGATGTTTTTCGATTATGCGTCATATTGAAATCTGAATTAAGTTGTTGTCTTGCTTGTCCACATGCTTGTGCAAGATCAATATCTGTTAATGGAAGTTTATCCATTTTAATTAAAAGTACATCGAATGGTAAACTTTTTGCTGTTTGTTTAATAAGTGCAATAAGATCCATTGGATTATCACATTTATGTGCTTTAGTTACAATATCAGGTGGACCAACATCAAGTGTTTCACGTACAATAACAAGAGCTAAACGAAATAATACTTTGACACCTTCACAAAAAAACATATCCCATATGCGAAACAATTGTGGTGCACGATAAGTTCGAGAAAATAATGTCATATACCAATCAAGTGTATATAATATTGGATCAACATCAAGTTTACGCTAGAAAATAGAAATCATAAAAATTCCGAATTTAGAATAAGAGAGATTGTTATATAAATCATAATTTTGCAAGACTGAGAATACAATCCTTCGCTTGAGATTCGAAACGTTTATCATAAGATAGCACTTAAAATAGTCGAATATTTAAGCTACATTTAATTAACTTCGGAATTATTTATTCATTTCCTTAATCATGTCGACGACAATAATAAAGAGACATAAGTAAAAGATACAATCAAAAAAAAGAATAATATCTTGAAACATCACTTTATTCTAATCATAACAGAGCGATCTCAGATCCACGATTCTGGTCAAAACTTAAGACTTCTCTCTCAGAAAAAAGTCAATTTCGGTCAAATTTATCAATTTTATGATTTATGATTCGTTTGATAGAGAAAAATATCTACTCATGAATGCACTATAGATTATTGATGTTTTAGAGAGATTTAAGAATATTGCATAGGTTTTTCTAAACTTTCATACTGAAGAAAGTAACATTTTTTTGCAAAAATTTTGATTTTTAAAGTTTTTTAAGTCTCTCTGTTGACTTTCGGTAATGATCAATATATCTATCATGCATCGTGAAGTATGATAAGTTAATACAACACTCAAACATGAAAAACTATAGAATGGAATGAAGGTGTGAGTGAACTGGAGACTCATGCTCACACTCACACCCACATCCATCTTACGCTAATTCTTGATAGACTCAATGTATAGAGCTGAAACATTTACTATGAGGTGTCTAATTCGAGATATACTTTCTCTGGAAATTTTGTCAAGATTGGATGCTCGAAAAAAATTCTTTTGAGGTGGTATCCTTACATGATTAGCTTTATACTTCATTATGTTAAACAGAGTAAATCAAAAGTTTTCTAAAGAAAGTTGTTGCAACTTGCTATCAACAATATGCATGTTTTACGGAGTTTTTCGATCTCATAGGTTTTGATATGATTTTGTGTTATATATAATAATCGACTCAGATGTCACGAATAGACATGTACGCAATCAAAATTTGAATGTGTGCCGAGATCAGGACCGAGACTACGAGAGAAAAGTTGTTTCAATAAGAACTAAAGATTACAGCATAATATTCTATGACTTTAAGTAAATCATCTTATAAATCATCGATCAGAATATAATTCAAGAGAGATGACTAGACCTGTCAATCCCAAAGTTTTCGGATCCGAACTCGGTTAATTGAACGTTTTTGGAACCCAGACTCAATGGAGTCGTACTTTGATATTTAAAAAAAAATTCTAATCGAAATTGGCTAATTGCACCGAAGATACGAGATATGGAATACTTTTTTCCAGTTCTTTGTAATCAACGATTAGCATACTCTACATATTTCTCAGACGACTAGACTCCATCGGGTCCGAAACTA